ATTCCCTTTTTCTTTCCTGAAAGTCAAGGAGGAAACGGGAAATTATTACTCCGTGCGCGCGCGCGCGTCGAAAGGGCAACCCTTTCGACCTACTCCGGACAATACTTCATCCTTAATTCCCGCAACGAGCTCGCGCGCCCGCGAGCGTACCTGAGGCGCTCCTTCCCGATGTCTTCTTCGGGTTCGATCGAGCGTATTTAAGGGGCGCAAGATGCACACGAGGAATGAACGACGCGCGCGCGCGCGCGAGAGAGAGAGAGAGAGAGAGAGAGAGAGAGAGAGAGAGAGGGAGGGAGAGAAAGAGAGAAAGAGAAGGTTGGAGAACGTACGCGGCTGTCTGTCTTCCGTGTGGCATTAATAGGTCTTTGTTTCGCCGTAGGGGAGAGACACCAGCGCAGGCGGAAGATGCCCAGCAGCACGTCGTCCGCGCGGCTCTATTATTCGAATGTGGAGCAGATATCGGTTGTCGATATTGCCATTCGCCCGTCTAAATATCCGATCGATCGATCCCTTTTGCGTCTCCCTCCCTCTCTAACTCCCTTCATACCACTTCCTTCGCGCCTCCTGCTGCTCCTCTCGCGGCCCTTCTTCCGCTGTCTTCCGCCGTCGGCGATTCCGTATTCTCGCCCAGACTTCCTCCCGGTCCCTCCGCACCCGTTAGCCGCACACAGTTCGCGGCCCGTTATCGCGAACGGCAGTTCTAACTCGCGATAACGAGCCTACACCGGCGCACGTACGTATCACAAGATCCGACAATGTCGATCGTTCCCGGCCGAGACGTAACTATGTCCGCTTTTCTCTTCGCTTGTGCTGGATGTACGTTAATCGCGCCGATGGCTCGTCTCGGCCGCCGGAGCAAGCGCCGACTTGTACCACTGAAGTTAATCGTATAGCGCGGCCCACACGGCGCACGGGGGACTCCCCGAGGCGGAGACGCTAGAATTGTGGCGCACCATTCCCCGTTCTAATGGTCCGCCGCCTCGGCGGGAAGAGGAAGTCGAACAGTGAAGAAGGTAGTTTCGTGTCTGAAAGCTCGTCTCGATCTCGGAGGCGCGGTTCGTCGGCTAAACTCTTAATCTCTCGACTGCAACACCGCGGAAACGAGGGAATTCGATCCGCCGTGACCGCGAAGTCGTTAAACTCTTTTCTGAAGCGATGGCCCGGGCGCGAGCTTGGAAAAACGGAGCAGCGCGTTCATAGAACGATGGCTTCATATGAGAATCTACATTGGTTTTATTGGTGGCGTAGCCCCCCGGCGCACGATGAGAACCGATACTGACCCATACAAACGGATGTACGTGAATTTAGCAGCAGCTTCGCCAGTCTATCTGCAAAGCTGACGCCCCTTTGCGCGAGTGATTCATATATTTATATAGCACGATTTATGTAATCACGTGGAATGACGAAATGGAAATAAGAGAAAATGATCGAAAACAATATGTCACATAAAATGCGATATGAAAACCTGGATGCTTTGGGTAAATTTGTTACTGTATCAGAGAGAGAAAGAGAGAGAGAGAGAGAGAGAGAGAGAGAAAGAGTGCACGGAAAAAAAGAATGGTTACGTCAACCAGAAAGATAGCACAGCTTTTTTTCTGGAATCAATTTTTGGTTGCGCTGATCAAAAATTTATTTTTTTAGACAACGAATCGCTAATGTATAATGTCGCATAGGTCAATGTAATAAAAAATTGCTTACTAAAGCTAAAAGTAAAAGCTATGCCATATTTTACGATTTTCTGATTGATACAGCTATTCTTTTTTTCATGCGTAACAAAGAATTCATCTTATTGCCCAATGTAAATTTCATGATTAATTTAACATATTGGAGTCTAATAAGAAAAACTATCTTTCCATCATCGATTGTCTCACGTCGTGACAATCATCAAGATCTGTTTGGAAAGTTGCCCGTTGAAACTGCTAATTTCGTCGCTCTCCAGTCGCTCCTCCAACGTCATCACATTATTGCGATAGCAACCACGTCCGACCATAATGAAATCCTTGCGGGCGTCTATCACACACGATTCGTGGCAATGCCGATAGTGCCGCGAAGCGAAAATACGGGGAGTGTACGCGCGTCTACGTGGCGCGTGCCTCAAATGCTCCGATCGGACGGGACACGTATTGGCACACGATAAACCGGCGGTCACCGCGAGTGCAACATCGAAATATCGACTTAACTGCCACGCGTGTAATATCTACCGCGCACGCCGGAGTTGCAAGCAACGGGACGGTTTTATTCTGTTAAAGTAATACACCGTCCGCCCTCGACAAGGGCGAACGCAGTATCATTTTATCGCGCGCCGTAAATCGATTCGAGCTGCCGAGGCTCTCCGAACCGGCGGGACAACTCTCGAATGGTTAAGAGATTCAGATAAGCGACAACTTTTTTCACCCGATCTGAATTTTAAATTAGCTGGGGGCCGTCGGAAGCTGCCGCGCGTTGTTTGTTTGGCGGTAATCGCTTCGGAAGCCGGAGCTCGTTAACTATGAAATATTACAATTGCTTTTACGAATTCATCGTGTCAACCTGTCGATAGGGAAACATGTTACGGCGAAGGAAGATCGATGATATCGCTCTTGTTTAAAATTACCATCGGATCATTAACGATTTACGACGATTTTGTAATTTTGATTCGATTATTCATGGACCAGGAATACCCAAATGAACGGATGTACGTAAATTTGGAAGCAATTTTATTAGTCGACTTGTAAAGTTTGCCCTTAATATGGAATTCATACTTATCACGATGAAATAGAATTACAAAAGAAATGAAAAGAAAGAAATTATATTATTAAAATTTACTCAAAGTAGTATGCCATGCATAGTGTTATATGAAAATCTTGGAGCAAATTTGTTGTTACATCAATATAACCAAAAATTGAGATTATCGTATAATGTGAAGTTCATGATCAATTCAATACTCTATCTTACAGAGCAGTCATGGTCAACCTCACATTCAGCAGAGAAGCTCCTTTTCTCCGTTCGCAAACACTGATGTTTCCTTCTATCTTTACACCGACTTCTGCGTCTGTCTCATACCACTCATTTTTCATTTCACTCCGTGGAAGGATGGGAAGCATCGCGGATCCCAGTAAACTCTATACGTACTGGAGAGAGCCATCGAGAATTGAAGGGAACAAAAGAAATCTAAAGGATAGATATATTTGGTTGACATGCTGTATTTGCTTGAGGTTCGCTGATTCATTGGTTATATTATAGCTGAAAATTTTAAGTGTGCATTCTACATTTGTATGCTTTGTTCTGTATTCTAGACTCTTTTCGATAAAGGTATCTCTAAAAATGATATATAAGCTTCCTGATTATAGCTACAAGCCACTTTTCCAGGCACTTTTATCAATAAAAAAGAGCTCAGAATACCAGCGTATGCTTTTAACTATGTTAGTTAGTAGTTACTAATATAAAGTGAAACACCAAATCTATATGTGTCCTTCTTCTCTGGTGTACAATGTGTCTGTTTGATTTAACTTCAAGTAACGCCACTTTCTACACTTTCATATAGAAAAAGTGTAATACGTACAACTAACCTAACCAAACCGTAGCTGATCTCTCCAACATACATATTGGACATATGTATATAGAGCTTACTCGTGAAGCTCAAGGTTGACCATGTCTGTTCTCTACTCCTTCGGAGTCCTAACGGAGCGCGCCATCGGAAATGTAAAGTCTACGGCGTGAACTTACTGCAACGTACAGGCGCGCGCCGCGGAAACTCCTAACTCTTCGAACGGCTATATCTCGATAAAAACTTAGAGCGTGAAACAAATGCCAATTTTTTCGACATCTCACGCTCTACACATATGCTCTGATCGTGTATGCTCTTTCTGTCATGACACGCACAACTACGACACGTGGTGCACGCGATATATATCGTAGCGCAGAAAAAAAGGACGCAATTGATAGTCAGATCTTATATTTAAGATTGTGTTAAATTCATCTTCAGTTGCTGCATGGATCGCTTCATTAGCTGCGCGGAACTTGAAACGATCTTAAATATCAGACTCGACCACGAATATCGGCCAAAATATATCTATTAAAAAAGCCACGAGAGTTTCTGCGGTATAAAGCACAAAGTTTCACGTATACACTTTGTCCAATTCGTCCGACGAATTTTCGGATATCTCTGGCACTTGAAAACTGTCCGATCGCGGGACTGATCGTAAAAATCCTCCATGGATTGGTTCGAAACTCGAAAATAACTGTGAGGGGAAATCGAAAATCGATGATGATGCTCGCGGCAACGCGTTTCGTAGCTCGTAAAATCTGTTGCACCGTACTTTTCACTCTATCTCGTCCTCGCATCTCGGACGTGGAAATCGCCGAGCGCTTCTAACCGCCGCATCGACGCGACAGAGAGAGAGAAAGAGAGAGAGAGAGAGAGAGAGAGAGAGAGAGAGAGAGAGAGAGAGAGAGAGAG